GGTAGTGCTAGAGGCCAGAGCAATGCCATCTAGAGAAACTATGTCATCAGATAAAGAGTCTCTGAGTTGTTTGGGGCCAAGAACAATAACTTCAGTTTTGTCTGAATTTAACATCAGGAAATTGGTGTTCATCCAAGTTTTTATGTCTTTAAGGCAGTTATGGAGTTTAGTTAATTGATTACTTTCTTCTGGCTTCATCGATAAATACAACTGAGTATCATCCGCATAGCAATGGAAATTTATAGTGATTTCTAATGATGTTACCTAAAGGAAGCATATATAGAGTAAATAGGATTGGTCCGAGCACAGAACCTTGCGGAACTCCAAAACAAACTTTAGTACGTAAGGATGATTCATTATGAACGTCAACAAACTGAAAACGATCAGATAAATGAGATTTAAACTAGCTCAGTGCAGAATGTAATGTTGAAAACATTACAAGACATATGAAGTATACATGTTGAAAACAATACAAGATATATGAGGTTTACATGATTCAAACAATCAAAAGATACATGATGAAAACAATCGCAAGATATATGAGGTATAAATGATTTAAAAACAATCACAAGTTATATAAGGTTTACATGATTTAAAAACAATCACAAGATATATGAGGTATACACGGTTAAAAAAACAACAACAACAACAACAACAACAACAACATAGCATTACGCTAAAGCAGACGAGAGCAAATTTATGGCAGAGGTCCTGTGGATAATGCGAAAATAATAATGCAACCTTCTCAATTCTGTCAAGGTGTCCACAGGTACGTTATTGCCTTGTACAAGACAACTCACTGCGTCTACAAAAAAAGCGTACAGAGTAAGCAAATGACTTACGTTTGAGGCATTCATCTCTTTAATGATTTTGTAGAATGCATCAGCCACCGAACCATCCTTTACAAGTTGCAATGTGCACCGTACCAACACATGCCAGGGTGTATGTACAGATTGGGACCTGACTATGTCCAACATGCATTCCAATTGAGTTACTTTAATGTCTCTGTTCAAACCCACACAATTCACAGTTTTTAATAACCTCATCCAAAACAGATTAAATGACAAATGACGTGTTCCTCTACACGCGTTACAAGTTTACTCCAGTAGTGACCCATTTTCACTCATTAAGCCAAAACTCCAGAGCTCTGTCTACGATTTCAATCTTTTCCTCGTCCCCTTCGGTCATCGTGTTGTAAATCTTGGCAATCGAGTGGTCGATGCGTCTTATTGTTTTAAAGTCATGCAGCAGGAAATCACAAGCTCCCCGGATCCGGTACTTGGACATGCAGAGACAGCGAGCGTGAAGAGCTCGTTGGATGGCGGGGATAAAACGATCCGTCCAGAGTCTTTGCATCAGATGGTGGCGGTGTACCTCGTAAAAATAGTCCAACGTCTCTTCCAGACATTCATGCTGACACTGACTCGGATGGTTGATTTGACACCCGTTGCTGATTTCCTTTTTGTACTCGCCCAAAACATACAGCAGCAGTTCACTCACTACGGCTCTCACCATATTCAGACATCTCACAGACAGCACCACGTCCGTTTCATTGTGCTTTCCTTCACAAGGATATCCGGTTCGCACGGCAGCAGGCAGTGAAGATGCAGAAGAGGAAGAAGAACTACCGTCTGGTGAATCGGGCATTGTTGGAGTCGGAGGAGGAGGAGCGGGGTCTGTCGGTGAAGATGGAGGAGTAGGAGGAAAGCCCTGGGACGGTCGCAGTGACGGAGAAGAAGGCCCAAAAGCCTGAGCGAGAAGAGAAGGAGCGGGGTCTGTCGGTGAAGATGGAGGAGTAGGAGGAAAGCCCTAGGACGGCTGCAGCGGCGGAGAAGGAGGCCAAAAAGCCTGAGCCAGAGGAGGTGGAGGTGGTGGTGGTGGTGCAGAAGAAGGCCTGATAAGGCCGGCCTCTGGCGATGAAGGCGGTGGTGATGGCGGCGGGTGAGTCCGTCGGTTGTTTTTAACTACCTCCGCCCGCCGTAGCTTTTTAAACGTATTGGTAAGGAGGGAGGGAGGGAGGGTGGGGTTTTTGAAAAGGAGGAGTCTTCTTAAACAGCGCTTTTCTCACAAGCATAATGTCTCTAGAGCTCCGACTGCTGGCAAAGAGTTCCTTAATATTTTCCGCATTTTCCGCCATCATTTTCAACCAGTCTGTGAGAGGAATGCGCAATGACGTCTGGAATACTCTGCATTCAGAATTGAAATACTCCAAGACAAATTCGTCCAGGTGTTTGTCCTTCAGTGACACCTGATGGCTGGCTCGATAGAACCATCTGCCTGAAGCCGAGCTTTTCGTCTCCCACACGGTACAGGCCACAGTTTTCTTCTTCTTTGCACCTGGCAGAATTTCTTTCAGGCCATGTGAGGAATGTGGTTCTTTCATGTCTGTTGTGTTGTAGCCCCATGCACCTCCAGCATCTAAACTCCATTCCTGCATAAGAGCGGAGACCGGAGGCATCTGCAAGCGACCCAGATGCCTGACACGCTTCTGGGGTGCTGGCCAAGATTCACGAAAACTTGTCACAGCGGTGCCGCAGATGACGTTTCTCTCATCATCATCAGACATAATTTTCCCTCCTCTTCCCAGCGTTTCTTTTTCGTTCGCCGCAGCATTCTCGGAGGAATCCAACATTCTCTTGGCCATGTTTGTTTTCTCTTTAGTTTTTTGTTTTTTTTCCTGCATAAAATCCAGAGTCTTTTCACTCTCTTTTTAAACACATTTGCTCGAGGCAACTTCTTAGGAGAGGGGCGGGGGCCGCAGAAATGTGATTGGTGTTTGGCTGATGACGTTCTACATCCTAGGAGGGGTTTGATGAGGTTGCTAAAATAGGTGAAAAAGCAGAAGTCTCCAAAAAGGAGGGGAGGGGGAGCTAAAATAGGTGAAAAGGCTGCCAGCCATCACATTTTGACACAAGTTTCCAAAAAGGGAGGGGTGGATGGATCAGCGGGGAAACACCCACTGACCCATCCAGCACACCCTATATGTCCGGAAAGGGGGGTGGGGAGGAGGGGGGGGGGGGGATGTCGTTTGGAGGTGGAGGTCAAAGGTCCCCATCCATCATTTTGACATAAGCTATATCCTATCTTCTCTCTCAACTATCATGTGAGTGTGGTCAACAACTGGGGGTGCTGTCAGATATGGGTAAAATATGGATAAAATTAATTTTCACCCATTTAGAAATTAGATATTTAAAATCTGATGACACAAGTGTGTTTACCATCCGCTTAAAGTCCACAGTGTACTCTCAATTCAGTATTTACAACTTCCAGATCTAGGAAAAACACTTATATTTTTTAAAAACTAAAATTCCCTGGGACCGCACCATGCAGCTTGATACATATCAGCAACATAGTTGTAGTTCTTCTGATTTGCAAAGTAAGGTTCTAAATAGGGTTGTAAAAAGATATATATGCCCAATATATCTAATATCTAGTAAAGCCGAACTAGTTATTACACTGCACCTAGATGAACTATGTTAAGAAAAAGTAAAGATGTCGGCTAATTTTCGATATTTTAGCTAATATGCTAGAAACGGCGTTTTTAGGATGGTAGGTTTGTTTGCGGCTTGTAAAATAGGGTCGTAAAAAGATAGATCTACTGAATATATCTAATATCTAGTAAAGCCGAACTGGTAATGACACTGCACCTAAATGAACTACGTTAAGAAAAAAAGCAAGGATGTTGGCTAATTTCAGATATTTTAGATAGTACTCTTAAAACGGCATTTTTGGGACTGTAGGTTTTTTGTGGCTTGTTGTAAAATAGAGTTGTAAAAACATACATCTACTGAATATATCAAATGTCTAGTAAAGCCGAACTACTAATGACACTGCACCTAGATGAACTATGTTAAGAAAAAGTAAGGATGATGGTTAATTTCAGATAATTTAGCTAGTACTGTAGAAACGGCGTTTTTGGGACTGAATATTTGAATAGGCCTATATCAAATATCTAGTACAACCGAACTATCATGTTACTATTATTATTGGTGGAAAATTATAACAGAGGAATATATTTGCCATTTTAATATCAAGAACACTTTCGTGTTTTTGTGTGTATACAGGATGTTATTGAATCAGGGAATTCGTGTGTACACCACGACAATGGATCCTAATTGACTTTACATTGGCATTGTTTCCGTGGTACCGGCACGTAATTTCAGCCCATTACGTGCTGCCACCACGGAATGTGGTATTAAGAGGTCGTGGTCATTTCACCTATTTCTGTGAAATCAGGTTGGGCATATCTCACTCTCTCCAGCATGTGTGTATTCTTGTGTGTCTGTTTATCAGAGCAAAAGAGGGAGCGATCGAGAGAGAGAGCAGCTGCGCACATCAATGAAAGCACTTGGCAGAAAGTAATTAATTAATAATAATAATCATTGTCGGAGTCGCGCTCGGCCCGTGCAGGGCTTTACTCGAGAATGTGTAGGCTGTCCTTGGTGCTGAACAGAAAATCAGCGCAGTAGAAAACAGAAGAAGCCTGGAGGGGGTGTGCAGGCGAAGACGGGTCAAACTAACGGGACCTCCCACCAATGGGACCCTCTATTGGTCCGACCTACAGCCTAGTCGGACTTATGGGTGGTCGAACCAATGGGAGGTCGGACCAATGGGCACTTCCCCATCCCCCCCACAATCTTTACTTTCACACGCTTTCACACACTGAGAGGAACTCCAACCAATCTACCCGATCCACTTACTGAAGCAAAACCAACGCAGTAGGCCCAGGATTGGACCTCTGCCGGTAAGTGTTGATCTCTTCTCTACCGGTAGCCTAAACACTGCGAGTCCGCAGTTTCCCGCTGTCTCCCCACGGTGTATCATCAAAGACCTATTTACTGGCCATAGCAGTGTTTTTCCCCAACAGAACCCGGACAAATCATGCCTTCACTCACCTCTTCACCTGGATGCGATGACTGCCTCCATAAATCACAGATTATCTCCGAGTTGGAAGACAGAATATCCACTTTGCTGCTCCCATTGATGTTGTCCAGGCTGCTGACCCCTGGATTCACCAGGGAACCAGGCCGAAGGTCTGACCTGTGCTTGAATCCACCCCCGGTCAGTGGATTGTTGCCGGCAGCGGCAAACATGGAGGAAAACTTCTTCATCGCCCTCCACCACCTACAGCCCATGGGCTGTCCACCTTTAACATGTTCTCCAGCCTCGAGGAACAGGACCCCCCCTCCACCCCCATCCTCTTGGGCTTTAGAGTCTGTCGATCCATCTCCAGCACTTCTCCCACCGATCATGTCCAGTCATTCCGCCTCTCCCGCTGTCAGCTCACAACGCCACACCTCAGCAGAAATTTACACATTTACAAATTTTTTTTAAACAGCTCTCCAACTCAGCCTCTGTCAGCGCCGCCTCAGATCCAGCCCCCTGTGGAGCTACGTGGAGTCGTCGCTGGGGGTCCGGTGCCCCCGGTGGATGGCCCCGCGGCTCTGGCATCATCTGACCGGACCCTCTCGCTGGCTGCAACTGGCACTGCTGCCACTGTGGGTCAACACAGCAAATGTCGGGATATGACACCACTCGCCCTCCTCCCCCCCGTCCACTCTTCGCTCCCACCACACTGATAATCAGTGACTCTGCAATTTGAAATGTCCGTTTTTCTTAACACCACCACCCTCTGTCTTCCTGGTGCCACAATTCCCGACATCCTCCAGAATATTCTGCCTTCACTCCCGGCCTCCATAAATCGCTTCATCATACATGGGGGAATTAACGATTCCGCTCGGCAGCATTCAGAGCTGACCAAGGTTCACTTCTCCAACCTCTTTAAATTGGCAATCTGGCAAATCCATTTTTATCTCTGGTCCAACTGCCCCGCTGTCTCAAGGCAAGGAACATTTCAGCAGAGTCTTATATCTCAGCCACTGGCTACAATCCGCATGCAGGTCTTACGGTGTAACTTTCATTGAAAACTTTAATCTCTTCTGGAACCGCACATCTCTCCTCAAGGCCGGCGGCATTCACCCAATCAAGACTCACAGCTGTTAACAAGCAACATTCAACTCGCCGTGCAATATGCCCCATGTGAATGACTGTTTTCATCTGATGTCACACACACACCTAGCCCCCCCTCTTCTCCTCAATGTACTGTTTCCAGTGAGAGCTCCTCCTACTGGCCCCATGGATCACCAATACCTTCTACTGTTGCTCTCCCCATTCAGACTGTCCTGACAGATAGATTGTCCTGTGTGTGGGGCAGTTTCAAAGCTGTAAATAAAAAACAACCTCATCCACATTAAACTCAGTAGCCCCCCGCCACCTCGTATAATCTGGCCCTTTTAAGTCCTTTATCCTAAATGATATTATCCTTTCCTCCAACTTAGATTTCCTCTTTTTAACAGAAACCTGGCAGAAGCCTGGTGAACACAGCCATCTTGTGGAAATATGTCCCCCCAACTATGACTACTTTAACTCCCCTAGGCCTAGTGGTCGTGGGGGAGGCATTGATGTCATCTTCAGGAACTGCCATAAATGTACTCCTATTAGTACTGATGTATTCTCCAGGTTTGAGGTCCTGATGTTTAAAATCAGTGCTTATGACCCAGTTCTCTGTGTGGTCGTGCATCGGCCCCCCTAGGCTGGATGCTATTTTTCTGTCTGAGTTTACTGAGTTTATCTCCTCAACTGTGGTGAAATATGACAGAATATTAATCTCTGGTGACTTTAACTACCATGTTGACATGCTGAATGATGCCAAAGCTGCTGAATTTATTAATATTATGGACTCTTTTAACTTTGCTCAGCTTGTTCTTTCCCCAACCCATAACCTTGGTCATACACTAGATTTAGTTTTTACCCTTGGTCTGACTGTTCCCTCACTCGCCGTCGAGGATCTAGGGATCTCAGATCATCTCTGCATCCAGTTTTCTACCATGATTCATATCGTTCCCAAACCTAAACTACTGGCCTCTTATACTCGCACCTTAAACCTGTCCTCAGCCAGAAAGTTCACTGACTCTTTTATAGCTTCTCCGCTCTTCTGCAACATTGTGTCCTCCTCTTCCCCCCTGAGCACAGAGGAGCTATTCTACCAGTTTAATTCCACTTGTGCTGATATCTTGGGCTCTGTTGTCCCACTGAAAATCAGGAAACCTAAAATAAAAACTCAACCCTGGCTCAATGATGACATTCACGCTCCCAGACAAACCTGTAGGAAAGCTGAAAGAAGGTGGAAAAAAGACAGGCTTCAGGTCTCCTATGAAATATTGAGAAACTGTTTCACAATCTATCAGGTTTCTGTTAGAACAGGTAGGAAGAAATACTTTTCTGACATCATCTCAAAAAACTCCCCCAAAGTGCTTTTTGAGACAATTAATGGAGTCCTTCATCCTGCCGCTGTTAAATTTCTTCATGTGTAAAACTGCTAACATCCGGTCCGCTATTTCATCTCCTGACTATGACCCTCCTGCCCCCCCCCCCCCCCCCCCCCCCCCCCCCCCCCCCCCACCCCCCCCCCCCCCCCCCCCCCCCCCCCCCCCCCCCCCCCCCCCCCCCCCCCCCCCCCCCAACTCATATTAAAGATATCGTTTCACACACCAAGCCATCTACTTGCCCCCCCGACACTGTTCCTACCCGCCTGTTAAAGGATGTTTATGACACTGTTGGTCCCACTGTCTCTCTCATCCTTAACAGTAGCTTAGCCAATGGCTCTGTTCCTTCTCCTTTTAAACATGCAATTGTACAACCCATTATCAAGAAGCCCAACCTTGATCCCTCCATCTTAAATAACTTCCGGCCTATTTCAAAACTGCCCTTTCTCTCCAAAATCCTAGAAAAAATGGTTTATTCTCAGCTCTTGCCTTTCTTAAAAGACAATAGCATTTTGGATAAATTTCAGTCTGGTTTCAGGACACATCACAGCACTGAGTCAGCATTACTCAGAGTCACAAACAATCTTTTATTGTGTATGGACTCTGGTAATTGTGCCCTACTAGTGCTACTAGACCTTAGCTCTGCCTTCGACACGATTGACCACAATACTCTCCTGCACCGTCTGGAGCATCAAGTTGGCATTCGAGGTTGCGCCCTACAGTGGTTTACATCTTACTTAACAAATAGATCGTTTTCTGTCAAGTCCGATGGCCATATCTCCTCATCTGCCCCCATCACCTGTGGAGTACGTCAAGGCTCCATTTTAGGACCCATTCTGTTCGCCCTGTACATGCTCCCCCTAGGCTCCATTTTTTCAAAAATACAATATCTCCTATCATTACTATGCCATTGACACACAGCTCTACCCCCCGCTAAAACCCTGGCAATAACAATAACAGCACAGTTAAGTCTCTTCTTGACTGCCTCCATGAAGTTAAATGCTGGATGGCCTTAAACTTCCTCCAACTTAACGAAAGCAAAACCGAGGTCATACTTTTTGGTCCCTCCCACTCCGTCCAGGGTTTAACCAATCACCTATGTCACCTGTCACCTAACCCTATGCAAAAACCTTGGTGTTGTCTTCGATTCTGCCTTAAAATTTGACCGACAAATCAATACTATTGTCAAAGGGTGCTTTTTCCAGCTGCAAAACATCTCCAAAATCAAACCTTTACTTTCTTCAAACCATTTAAAAACCATCACAAATGCCTTGATCACCTCCTGACTGGACTATGGCAATGCATTATTTCTGGGTGTCCCTAAATCTACCTTGTCACGCCTGCAGCTTGTCCAGAATGCTGCTGCAAGACTGATAACTGGCACAAGGAAAAGAGACAGCATAACACCTGTGCTTGTGTACATGGGATTGTATTGCTAAGTATTTTGATCTCTGCACTTTGTTATTCTGTGATTTTACATTTATTGTACAGCACTTTGGTCAACCTAGGTTGTCTTTAAATGTGCTTTATAAATAAATTTGATTTGATTTGATTAACAAAAAACAGATCTAGTGATGAAGGGAAAAGCATATATACAGTACAGGCCAAAAGTTTGGACACACCTTCTCATTCAATACGTTTTCTTTATTTTCATGACTATTTACATTGTAGATTCTCACTGAAGGCATCAAAACTATGAATGAACACATGTGGAGTTATGTGCTTAACAAAAAAAGGTGAAATAACTGAAAACATGTTTTATATTCTAGTTTCTTCAAAATAGCCACCCTTTGCTCTGATTACTGCTTTGCACACTCTTGGCATTCTCTCCATGAGCTTCAAGAGGTAGTCACCTGAAATGGTTT